GTAAAACGCTTAAACTGCCTATTAAATCGTCTAGGCTCCGATTAGGCGTTCTAGGCATTAGGCATTGGATCACCGTCCGTTTAGCGCTTAGCGCTTTCTTGAACATTGAAATTTGATATATTTTGGAAAATTAAAACTGTTGTTAGAACACGTAGATAACGGAAGAAAAATTAAATAAAAATCGAAACTGAGACGTCCCCGTTAAGCAATAAAACTCTTAGTTTGATTTTAATGTAATATGAATTTTTTTTAGTTCTGATAATATCAATAAAATGATATTTATCAACTAATTTGTTGGCTATTAAAACTATAGGTAATGGCTAGTACTTTAATAACTATAATATATACATAATGCATGTTACCTCCATTAACTTCTAAGATACATGATGAGTGTAATTTTGTCCGTATTATTACAAAAGTTTTGTGATACACACAATGNATAATTATAACCAAAGTTACATGATTCGTGCAAGCTATGGATTTGTTGATTATATTATCTGTTACATTTGGTATTAGTCCATTTTTGTATTCTTCATAAGGAAATTGCTTCTTTTTCATATAAAGGATGAAATTTTGTTGATGACAAAAAAAAAAGGATGAAATTTTGTTTCTTACATGTATAGTCTAGAAAAAGAATCACACATTGTCCCTAATTTTTTTGAGAAATATTTTTCTCTTATTTGTGAGTATGAAAAAAATGAAAATCTAGGGATAATCATTTTTCGATTTGATAAATTGATAGTGTGGTGTGGTGCTTTGGCCACGGAATATGGCAGATGACACGTTCAAACGGTACATTGACATGTGACCTTATAATCGCCTATGTTGCTTCACGACAAAAGTAATTTACATTGATATATGAAGATAATATGCTTAATCAATTCTCGTACTTAACTATGTTTTCTTTTTAAAACCGAAATCACATTTTGGTTATGTGTGAGTTTTGACAATACACTTGCAAAACCAAAATGAAAAGACTCACTTGCCAAATAACTTGTTCTACTACCATTAATTTTGATTCCACCTTACATTTTTTTAATTACCACTGATTTATCGCCTAATCATCAATGTCGATGATTTTGAGGAATGAAACATTAAAATAGTTTAGAAATTTGCAAGGGACAAATGCATGAAAAGGTGAGACAAATGTGTTGTGTTCTATGTTTCTTCTGTCACACAAGACATCATTCAACAACGCATCATCGCATGCATTGCTTCGAACCCGCTTATGCAGAAAGAGGCTTCTACTTTGACAAGAAACCTCTGACTGAGACCGAAGCTTTGATCAGGCATAGACCCTCTAAACAATCTAGAAGGTCCTCATGATGTATCCACCTACTATAAGGCTATGATTACAAGATTTCAACCAAATGAATAAAAAATTGAACCATTAATAGTGATTCAACATAAATATGATAATTTACAACTTTTACGAAACTTTGGAGTGATTGAAACATGCTCTTGTTACGAGATTTAAAAATAAAATGAAAAGAAAACTGAACCACTAACAAGACAACATATATGTATGGTAACTAATTAAACGTACTCCGAGTTTTCTTCACGTAGAATAGAGAGAACAATATATGTATTATAGTATTGTTTTAAATGATGGAGTCCTTGGTTCGAAGATCTGAAACGATGGACATTGGTAATAAACAAAAAAATATATGCGATTTTATAAATATATATGGTTCTGCAACATAAATAAAAAGGGATGATGCATGATAGTTTTATTTCATAATGCTAACAA